CCAACCAGCAATGGATGAAAGCACGGCTCATAGGAACTACAGTCAAAACGTTTACAGGACACTGCAGCAGCTGGGCTCTGTCTCTCACTCTAGTTTAATCCACCAACCTGGTACTTAGTAAATATTTGTCTAAAGAATAAATATTTAGGGCTGATATAAAGATTCGGAAGATATGGAAGAAAATTTGATAGCAGACCAAGGATTTTTGTGCAGAGAAAGAGCGAGAAGAGAAGAGGGCCAACGTGCAGGATGTCCTTGTGTGGATGCCCAGGAGAGAGGACTTGGAATTACCAGTGAAGCAACTAAGAAGAGGAGAAGAGCCCCAAGAAGAGGAGAAAGGGCAGGTGTTTAAAGAGAATGGAGTGTGTCTGGGGGCGTGGCGGAGGGAAGTGGAGGGGAGCTGCATGAGGTCCAGTTACAGCCACCACGGTGAAAGGAGCGTGACTGCCCGTGTTTGCCACTGCACTTGATGTGGTCTGCACACGCCGTCAGCACCCAGCTCCTGATGCAAACTGGAGTGGCCCAGAAGAGGTTATCAGAAGACAGCTAACTGAGATGGCTCCCCGATCTCTCTCTTTCTCCCTCTCCCCCTCTCCCTCCCCCTGCCCCCTCTCTCTCCCCCCTCCCCCTGCACCCTCTCTCTCTTTAATCTGTTCTCCAACAGCTGAACTGGACACCATAAAAGCCTCAGAATCTCATCTGTTTGTTTAGCTTTTGTTTTATAAAGGCAAGCTCTGTGTGGTCCCTTTGCTTAGCCTTGCTGGGAGAAACTGCTGAGAAACCCCCAATCTTACTACTAACACGGAGACAAGAAGTAAAAGTTGTCTATCTTCAGGTCCTCCTCTTCTTCTATAGAGGAGATTCAATAAGGATGCTATTTCACTGTGGAGAAAGAATACAACTGTAATCCCAGCCCTGGGGGGGAGGAGCTAGTGGGAACCGCAGTTCAGCGACACCCTGCCTGAAAAGCATGAAACCTTGTCTAGAAAAAAAATAAAAAAACACTGCTATTTCATATCAATCTTTTCCTGCCCTGTGTATTAATCCCCAGGCACTGAAGGTGATAGGGACAGAGAAAGAAGAAGGGACAGACAGCATTGATAAATTGCTAAAGACTGGTCATCCACAACAGCGAAGTCACCCAAGAAGGCAAGGACTATCTATATAGTTTAGATACGTTTAAGTGTGTTACCCAGGAGTCCATGTTCTGGGAGCTGTCCTCCTCACGGCAGTACTGAAATGTGGTGTGGACTCTTGAAGAGATAGGATCCAGTGGGAAGGAACCAGCCAATGCCCTCAGAATGTGTTGGTGATGATTCTTGTGAGATACTGTCTAGAACTCAAGAAAAGTTTACTGTCCTTTCCTCCAGGCTCTGTGATTCCTTCTTGTGACTAAGTAATTAGAGCATTCTTTTGCTCCCTCTCCCATGCATTCCTTCCCTTACTCTTTCACCATGATGTGATTCTGCCAGAAGGCCTCACCAAGCCAGTATTATGCTGTGTGGACTTTAAGCATCCAAAACGATGAGTAAATAAACCTCTTTTCTTTAGAAATTAGTCACCTGGCTTCAGAATGTTGTTATAGCAGTGGGAAACAGGTGTATAGACAGGAAGTAGCAGAGGAAGAGTGAGAGCCACTTTGTACTTAAGAAAGTGACTCTGAAATCAGCCATGAGATAACAGAAAGGGAAAAGACATCGACAGAGAACAAAATAAAGCAAGACAAACTGAACATGGGCACTGAGCTAATGCCATGTAATACGTTTGCCCTCATCCTCGTCTGGATAATGAAACCTCATCACCGAAAGGAAGGAGTTGTAAGGCAGAGCTTTGAGGGGGATTAGAGCGTGCAATTAGAGGCTCCAGAGGGCTGTCTCAGCCCTTCAGCCATGTGAACATACAAGAAGGCTACTTTCATGAGTGATCTGGGCTTTATAAGACTCCAAATATGCAGAACCGTGTTCTTCAACTTCCTGTCCTCCAGATCTGTGAGAAATACATTTCTGTTGTTATAAGTTGCCCAGTTTATAGCCATTTTGTTATAGCAGTCTGAACAGACTAAGACCATGAATCTTGAAATCAAATGGAATTATTGGTTTGCTGGGTTTGGTTTGGTTTTAGTCCAAGAATGTAAGAGAAATGGTTGTAGGCATGAGTGGCCAGGGAGTGACGGGGATGGAGGGAGGTGCAAGGTCACTTACTATTCACTTGAGATCCTGAACAAGTGAGGTTGGCCGAAGTGACTTCAGGGACAGGTTTCCACTAATACAGGTGATGAAGGTTGTGCCTGTGCAGGACTGGGACTGGGACATGAAAGTTCATAGTTCAATGGACCCTCCAGAGGCCATAGAGAAAATGGTTAAGAGGAAGAATTAATGCTGAGAGTTTGTATCAGTGAGTACAAAGCACCAACCATTACCAACCAAGCTGAAAGGACAGTGACATTAGCCTGAAGAGTTCTGACATGGGGTTGAAGGTGTGGGACAGTGGGCTGTGAAGAGCCATTGGTGTCTGGGTCAGAACATGGAGACGCAAAGGGAAGAGGACAGCTAGTCTGGTGGCTCCTTGCTTAGGGCTCTAGATCTTCCTCATGCAGGTGAGAAATGCTAGAGCAGGAGCCACATGAGGGAGTAAAAACCCCAGAGCAAATAAGGAAGGAGTCCTGCCCAGGGTTTCAGAGTGCTGCCCCCAAGAACTCCCTGGCACTGAGTCCTGGCAACCCCATGTCCAGCCTCACCCAGGGTATGTGTTAAAGCACACTGACTGCTGTGTCATCCTAATCCCGTGAATTAGATATTCTCATAGGCAAGCTCCAGAAACACCACCTGTCAGCTTCAGAACTTCTATGTAGCAGAAACTCAGGGTAATACGATAGTTGGGTAAATATGCTGGTTTCTAATACAGCAACTGAAAGGATTATCAACATCATAGGTTTTGTTTTTTGTTTTTTACATTAAAGGAAATATTTATTTTCTGTAAATGAGTTCTCTGTTTTCATCCACACCAGAAGAGGGAATCAGATTTCATTACAGACGGTTGTGAGCCACCATGTGGGTGCTGGGAATGGAACTTAGGTCCTCTGGAAGAGCAGCCAATGCCCTTAACCGGTGAACCATCTCTCCAGCCCCATCATAGACTTTAAAAAATATTTTCTTTACTCTTTATTAAGTGTATTTATTTGTTGGTGGGTGGGGATGGCGTAGGAGCCCAGAAACATGTCATGGCATAGATGTGAAGGCCTAGGACAACGCTGAAATTGGCTTCTTTTCCACTACGGATGTTAAAGTTATTTACTATCTTTGTTTCTCAGTTTCTCTCTTAACCCAGCTTCCACACAAATAATTGAGACTTTATTATATCATTTTGACAAACTTCACAGCACAAGAACAAGCACAGTTTTTAGTCTATTCTTCAGCACCTAAGCCAATTTCCTCCCAGTGTACATCCCAGAAACACTACATTTTGTCGCTTTCCTCCTCCAGCTCTTCTGGTCTCGCTTCAGCCTCTCCTGTGGCTCAGTCCCCTGCTCCTCGCTCCTCCTCTAACTCCTCCTCCCCTGGCTGGCAGGAACTCCAGCCCTGTTCTCTCCCCTCTTCAGCCGCTTTATTGGCATATCAGGGGACAATTGGGGAGCAGTGTTTACACAACATTGAGACAGGTGATTCTCGCACAAAGATTGCAGCCAGATATGGGGGAGAGGTACAGAAATTAGCATTTGAATTACAAAATAACCTTATGCTTACATAAGTCCCAGGGATGGAATTCAGGTAATCAGGCTTGACAGTAACTGTGTCTTTACCCATTAAGCCATCTTGCCAGCCTCAAATGTACCTATTAATAATTACCCTAAAGATATTTTAAAACATGGATTTATAATCCTCTTTTTAGCACTTTTAAGTTCTCACTTCCATTATTTAGTTTAAAGTACAGCCTCTTATCATTGATTTAAAAAAAACATTCTCCTTTGGTGCTGCATTAATGAACTGTTTTGTTATGTTTTATTTTGTTTTGTTGAGTAGAGTGAGAGTCTTATTTATGTCCTCTAGGCTGTCCTTGCAATTCTCCTGCCGCCCCCTCCTGAGTGCTGGGATTAAAGATATGTACTACCATGCTTGGCTCAAATTTTCTAATATTAAATAAATGCATGTTATTGAAAACCTGGTAAATGTCTAAAGGTAAGGGAAGAAAATTCATTTTCCTATACTACTTTTCCCTCCTGTACTGGAAATTGAACCTAGGCTCTCACAAATGAATGCTCAGTCATAAGGGCCCAGATCTTAGTATACACACACACAAACAAATATGTGTGAATGTTTTGCCCACAAGTAGGTTTGTGTACCATGTACATGCCTGGTACTGACAAAGGCTAAAAAAGGGCACTGGATCTCTCTGGACCTGGAGTTACATATGGTTTGAACATATAATCAAAACAAGATCTTCTGGAAGAGCAGCCAGTGTTATTAACTACTGAGCCATCTCTCAGTTCCTCCTTTTAGCATTTTTTATTTTGAGAAGGGGTTTCACTAGTTGCCCAGGTGGGTTTTTTTGTTTGTTTGTTTTTTAACTTTTATTAATTACACTTTATTCACTTTGTATCCCCCGTAAACCCCTTCTTCCTCCCCTCCTAATTCCACCTTTCCTCCCCCTTCTTCACGCATGCCCCTCCCCAAGTCCACTGATGGGGGGGGGGTCCTCCTCTCCTTCCTTCTGATCTTAGTCTATCAGATCTCATCAGGAGTGGCTGCATTATTATCTTCTGTGGCCTGGTAAGGCTGCTCCCCCCTCAGGGGGAGGTGATCAAAGAGCAGACCAATCAGTTCATGTCAGAGGCTGTCCCTCTTCCCGTTACTATGTAACCCACTTGGACACTGAACTGCCATGGGCTGCTGGGGTTCTAGGTTATCTCCATGCATGGTACTTGGTTGGAGAATAAGTCTCTGGAAAGACCCCTGTGTTCAAATTTTCTGGTTCTGTT